TAACTGAAACTGTTATGGCTGTACAAATGATTTACTATGAAAGCTTTAGAAGTCTGTGTCAACTTGCCTCGTGTTTGAATTTAAGCTACACAGCAACCCTTGAAGCAAACTGGGAGTTGGGAGTCGGGCCAGAAGGGAGTTCATGGCTTTTTATTTGCTTTGTTTGTCTATTGCAATTGCTGAGTCATGAACAGTGAGAAGCCCAAATTCAGCATGTTGGTTTACTTACTGGTGATCCCTGAATGCCTATTCCAGGGGGCCCCATCTCCCCAGGTGCTCCCTGTACACCAGGTAGTCCTCTTTCTCCCTGTGAAAAGTACAAGGCTTTCCATCACAACAGCTCTGAAAATATAAACCACCATACTACCTTTTAAAAACTCTTTTAAGAAATAGAAATAATGTATAATGCATACCTTTGGCCCCCTTGGACCTGGGTTTCCAGGAACACCAGTCGGACCCTAAAAAAACCCAAAAACAAAACACGAAAAAACCAAGAAAAAGAAATAAATTATGTTTTGAAATCCAAGAGACTAGATAAATGTTATGGCCAAAATTAGACAGTCCTTAGAAATAAAGTATGACAAATTTACATGTCTTCCTTGTTAGTGCCAGTGTCAGTAGGATCATGTGTGATACTTACACTATTTCTAGATTATACTTTAGTGCACTTCTAATACTGCTGCAAAATATATTTTGATTTCGAAATTATAATAAAAAATACTTGCTTTGTGGCTTTAAACTGGAAGTGACTAAGGCTAGGTTATTAGGAAGAAATTCATTACTGTGAGTATGGTGAGGCACTGGAACAGGTTGCTGTGAGAAGTTATGGATGCCCCATCCCTGGAAGTGCTCAAGACCAGGTTGGATGGAGCTCTGAGCAACCTGCTCTAGTGGGAGATGTCCCTGCCCATAGCACGGGCTTGGAACTGAATGATCTTTAAGCCATCTTCCAACACAAACCATTCTCTGATTTCTTTCATTGCACAGTGAGAATGCTTTCCTAGTTGCCACTGCAGAAAATAAAGTCAGGAAAGTCTTTTCAGATTATGAACTTACTGGTGTTCCAGGAAGACTAGGTCCAGGAGGCCCCATATCACCTTTTGGACCTGGATGTCCAGGTGGTCCTATGATTCCACCAGGGTCACCCTACAAAATAAATCTGAATCATTAATTGAAATGCGAGAACTTTCCCCTATGAAAAAACTCTAAATAATAACAAGTTTATCATAGAAAGTGCCAGTACTTTGAGAAGATACAGAGAAGGAAAAAAACGCTCATATTTTCCTTCAAAAAGTTACAAAATTGGAGACATAGATCATATAACCATTAATAATAACTAGTATTTTCTTGGTTTTCCATGCCTGCAATGCATCTGATCTACAGTTCTTGTTCCCCAGGCTCCTAACATGCAGATTGTCATTAAACCCTGCCAACTGAACCATAGCAACAGCTGAAACAACAGCTGTCTCTCCCCAGCTATCAACCACTAGTGCTAAACCTGGGGTCTTCAGTGTATTCCTCTTTACACCTCTGATCCTTATTTCAATACATGCAGTGTCTCTTGTTCCATATCTCTAAATTCCTGCTGCTTACACAGTAAAATTGTGCCTTTTATTATGCTGTCCTCTTGTCTTTTGCAGGCTCCTGCAACATCCTTTGTGATTCTCCCTGAATCCACTACTTCCCATTTTGCGAGATGAGTACATTTTTGTCTTTGTTCCAGTTATTTTCTTTGCCTTTCTTTCAGCTCACTGCTTCAGACTAGAATTTATTGGTTTCCCTTGTACCCCAAAATGTATAAATACCACAACACATCACATGGCTCAGAGCACACCTGTACAACCAATTTTTTCTCCTTCTTTACATTCACTATATACACACATAATTTTTAGATCTTGCTGATGCAGCTGAATTCTGACAAAGGGATTTCTACAAGCAAAATACAATGTCCTAAGGAGATCCAGCCTTGGCTCACATCTGAGCCAGTGTAGCTGCCCTAGAGCTCTGCCAAGATGAATATGTGTGACAGTGAAGTGGGATTTTATACATTAGTCTGGGTAGGACACTACACTGAAAAGGTTGTTCTGTAGTCAGGACCTGAACTGACATTTCTGCACAGCACAGATTTAACACAAGTCCAACCTCTTTGAAATATTACTTAAATTATTCATCTAAAGAACAACTGGGTTGCCAAACTGGCCTGAGCTATCTCCAAATGCAGAGATGTTTCTTCTCCAAGACACAGGGGGTTGT